TAGTTATGTAGGATGTTATAGGAACAATTAAATAGTTTCTTCAAATACTCAATAGTATAAAAAGGGAGAGGTGGGAATGATTCTAGATTGAAAGAGACTAGCTGAGATGTAAGAACTAAATGTGTGGACCTTGTTTTGATCTTGATTTAAACCAGTTGAAAGACATTTTTGAAATAATTGGGCCAAATTTCAATATGGACTGGATATAAGATGATACCAAAGAATTAATACTTTTGTAAGGTTTTGTAAGAGGTGATAATGTCATTGTGGTTATATAATTAAAAATGTCTATAATTTTTAGACTTTGATACTGAAGCATGCAGGGATAAAATAATGTTTGGAGTATAAAGTATTTCCCAAAAAAGCCATCATGAAGGTTGACAAACTATTATAACATTGAATTTGACTGATATATAATGGAGGTTCACTGCATTATTCTCTTTACATTTGGGTATATTTGGAATATTTTATTATAAAAATATTTAACATTATAAGTGATAACCAGGAAATAAAGATGTGTATATAAGATAGTCCATTGAACTTTGAAAGAAAAGTAGTATCTTGTTTAATAAACAAGAGTCCATGAAAATTTTATTTAGAAGTTTCTTGAAAGTTTGTACCATGTTTTCTTTTTTTTGGAGAGGTTTTTGCTATAGGGTGTGTGTGCTTGCCAGAAAGAGAGAGAGAAGTGATAAATCACCCCCCTCCCACCCCTATAATGGCAATGCTGCAATCCCTTCTCTTCTCGGGATTTTGGGTGGGCAAGTTTAAGCCACTGGGTCCGAGACTCGAATCACAGTCGACTACATGGGAGTCCAGCGACATAGCCATTAGGCCATCTGCTGGTCCCTGTGTTTTCTTTGTTAAAATTCACTAAAACTTACTTGAGTTTCAGTCTGCAGTTGTCCGATTAGTGACAGAGTCTTAACAGCAATAAAACAGACCTACGATTTCAAACAAACAAAAAAGTTAGCAAAAATTCCATGTGACATAAAATTATATCTTTCTTTAACTTACTGATTGAAAAATTTTAGCAGCTTTTAAAGGTTGGTGTAAAATGTGATTTCCAAGTTCAGCATCTAATTCAGCAATGTCAGAGGGATTTATTAAAATATTGAATCGATAGACAGCATAACTTTGCTTTGAATCTGTAAAAATACAAATGCAGAAGTCAGAATAGTTATATGCAGGAATTTAAAGTTTCTAAAGTACAGTCACCTTCACTGAACATACCGTTATAGTACTTGCAATCATCTATAAACTTTTGGAGACCTCCGCTTCTATCAAGATAGATAAGGGCTGCCTCTTTCATTTGTAGATTTGACATATTCTCCCGGTTAATGATTCTTCTCTATTACTAATTGACTAAACCACGGTAAAGACTACAGATGATGACACTCAGAAAGGATGAGAAAACCTAGAAATAAAATAAATTTTACTTTTCAAGAACTCTAATAAAACTTCACAAACTATTTAACTTAAATTGAGAGTGAAATAAAAGTAGGAAGAATTTCCAATTTTGGCTCAGTCTCTGTGACATAGCTGAAGTAGTCCAAGACTGCAGAGCTGGAAGCCACATGCCAGCAGAAGCTTGAGTCTCTGGCCTGGTTAGTCTGAAAACACCAGGTATAATGTTGTTGACGAGTCCTGTGGAGAGTACTTCTCTCTCCTTTCTCTCTTGCACATGCATGCACATGCTGCATCGTAAATAATAAAAATATAACTTCTAGCTTTGAAAAATTCCTATCCAAAGGGGAACACAACTTTGTATTCTTTTGCCAAATAACATTGTTATCAACATGTGGTTATGTGATCCTACACAGGATGACTAATGTAAGAACAGGAGCCTCAAATATCTCTTTACAGAGTCCTTATTTCAAAAAATGCTTGTTGGAATAAATAATATCAAATGATGAGGTTCACTTGACCATGTTCTTTAAAAAGTAAACATGGTGGGCTGCGAGTGATGTGGTGATTAAAGATGCTGGATTCCCATATAACAGACTGTGGTTCAAGTCCCAAATCTGGCGACTTGCTCTCTCCCTTTTCCTTTTTCTCTGTCTCTCTGGTCAAATGAAAAAATACTAGTAACAACAAATGGAATTAAATAAATAAATATGTTTTTAAAAGTAAAAAATGGTAAAAGTTGCTTCATACATTCAGTTTAAGTAATAAAATGGTGCACTAACTTTGGAAATCTGAGAATCTGTTTCTAATCCCAGCATTTCTTGGTTACTGTGGGAAAATCATCTGATCTCTTCGCTCAGTATCTTTATTTGCAGGAAATGAAAGGATTGTATTAAGTGATTGATTAAATGATTAAAATCCTGTTTTAATTATTGTGTCATTTCCCAATATAAAACATTAAACACAGTAATAAGTAGAGAGTAGAATATATAAAACTAATTTAAAGACAACAAACACTAATTAGAAATTATATACAGTATGCCAGGAATTGTAATAGGTACTAGGAATAAAATGATTGAGATTGGATCTGCCTTCAAGAAGCTGCCAATTTAGAGATGTTACAAGCCATGACTAATTTATTCATTTGTTACCAATTATTTATTTGTCATCTATGATATATTGAATACGACTATCCTAGGTGCTGAGATACAAGGATGAATAAAATGTGATTTCTAACCTTCAAAATGATAATAGTGAGGGAAGACAGAGATGTAAATAATTACACAACTTTAGTACTACTCTAGAAATTTTGATATACTAGGGAGTATGGGAGGAACGTATGTATTTCACAAAATTGGGTGTTACCCTGGTGTTCTGGTAACAATATTTTCTATGGTTTAAAAGTTTGACTGAATACAATGGGGGTCATAGAGAAGAAGCTAAGTACTCTTTTTTTTTTTTTTTTTTGGTTTGGAGAGGTTTTTTTTGCTATTGGGCATGTGCACTCACCAGAAAGATAGAGAAAGAGAGAAAGAAAGCAAGAAATCACCCCCCCCCCAGGGGGGTGGGCCACAACGAAATCACCCCCCCCCCCAGGGGGGATGGCCACAACTCAATCCCTTCTCCTCCATTCTCCTCTCGGGACCTTGGGCACACACGCACACCTGCCTGGCATGAGTTTAAGCCAGCGGGTCCGGGACTCGAACTGTGGTTGACTACATGGTAGTCCAGCGACATACGGCTAAGTTGAGTACAGCCATTACGCTAACTGCTGGTACCCTTTTTAAAATTTTTAAATTGGTAGAGGGTGTGTGCACTCTCCAGGGTGAGAGAAAAGGAGAAGCAACCCTCTCCCCCTTCAGTAGGGCATAGTCAAGCTGCTATCCCTTTTCCTCTATTTCGCCATCCTGTCCTGGTTTTGGGTACACAGACACAAGCACCAGGTGTTTTTCAAGCCACAGGGCAGGGTTTCCCACCAGGGTCAGCCACACAGGATCTGACTCCCTTAACTACTAGGCTACAGAGGTAGCCCATGAATTCTACTTCAATGGTGACACTTTATTGGTGAATATTTTATAAATTGGAGGAGTGGTTAGGAGAAGGAGAAAGTGTGCCAAAGATTATCCCTCCCCCCCCCCAATTATCCTATTTAATTGGGTCCACAGTCCTGTGACCCAGAATTCAACCTGCTTTTCAAATAAAAGTAATCAAAACGGTCCTTTTTGCTTTCACATAGGGTGAAACTTCAGAATTTTTCTGTGGCCTTAAGTACAATGATCTTAAAGTGTGTATTGTGTTCAGGATACCACATCTCTGCTTCATTCGACCATTGGGTTTCTGGAGCTTAATGAAGAGAAATTATTGATAATGAAATGGTTGGGTGAGCTGGGATTATGAAAGCCTTGATGTCCACGATGATTCTATAGACAGGGGGAAGGGGAGTGAGATGGTCAGAATTTTATGGTGGGAATTTGTGCCTACTGCCAGTGAGGAAATGGTTACAAGAGCTGAAAAATTGTTAATCAGTTCTTAACTATTGCAATATTCCCAAGAGATGGGGGTTCTGAAATGAAATGGGGAAAAGATGGGTTCTAGAATTTTGAAGACTTCGTACTGAACTTGGTGATCAGTCTGTACAATACGAGGGGAAGGGGTAGTCAACACTTCAGTGGGTTCTAAATTAAGAGTGTGAATGGATGCTGGGGGGGTGGGGGGGGAGAAGGAAACGCGGAGCCCTGGAAGAAGCGGAAGGCTACGAGGAAGAGTTCATTTGAGATATCCTGACCTCGAGAGGCTTGGGACGCTCAGGCAGATTTTATAGAAGCAGGAAGGCCACGCAAGCCAAGCCGAAGTTGAGTAGAGCCAAAGAGCTAGAGCCCCGGTCTGGGGTCACCATGGAGCGCCAAAGTCTGGGGACGGGTGCACTTTCAAGGAAAGGGATTAAGTGCAGGAAAAGACAGGGAGGCCTGGGGAAAGGATAAAATTCCCCATCTCCCCACGCGCTAAACAATGCGTGCTGGTTCTCCCAGGCCTAGAGAGGATCGCGTCTTCCCTCCAGGCCGGCCATCGCCAGGTGGCCACGTAGGAAGGCACCTCACGACCTGACGGGATGAAAGCGAATCCGGCCTCACGCGCCGGGCTCTAGAACCTCGCTCACCCACTGCAGCAACGCCCGGTATTGCGAACCCCAGCACAGGGGCGCTTTGTCACCCTCTGGCACCCACCAAGCACAGCCGGCCTCGCGCCGCCTCGAGCGCCTGTGGCGCTGGCCTCGCGCGCATGCGCACACTACTGGCGACCGTTGGGACGCGCGGGGGCTTCTGGGAAGGCCGGCGCCCACTGGCTCCAGAGGAGCTAACCGGCGGATCTGTCCCCACCTCTAATTTCTTCACTCTTGCTCCTTCCTGCCAAGGCAAGGCAGAGAGGGCTGCCTCACAGGGCAAGGGTATTTGCTTAGGGGGCCAGCCAGGAATGGTGGTCAACTGGTTATATCCCACATGGCCGTGTGGTTCGAGTCCCGGGGTGTGTGAGAGCGTCCCCAAAGTTCCTAGAGGACGTAGAGGAGAAGGGATTGCCTGGTCATCCCCCTGGGGGGAGGGGGGGGTGCTTTCCCAGTTTCTCTCCCCTTCTGACTAGCCTAGGTGCCCTACAGCAAACTGGGAAAAAAGGAAAAAGAAGTTGTTGTTGGTGGGAATGCAAAACGGCATGGTCCAAAATTTGAGGGACTAAGCATAGTTACCTTACGACTTAGCAGTTTCGTCCTACGAACACGTAGGAAACGTGTTCATCCCAAAACTTAACAACTATAGTATTATTCCTAATAGCCCCAAGGTGGAAACCTCAATGTCCAACAAAGTAGTGTAGCTGTAGGGTTACCCATTATTTGGACACGAAGTGGAACGAAACATTAATACATGCTACAACATGGGTGAACCTTTCACTGCAGAAAGCAGGCCGCGTGTTGTATAATTTCATTTATTTGAAATATCCAGAATTGGCAAAGCTATAGAAAATAGATCAGTGCTTGCTCAGGGCTGGGAGTAACAGACTGCTAATGGGTGTTTTTTTGCACTGGTGAGTGGTCTCACTAGGAGGCAGGGGAGAAAGTGAGAAATCACCCCCTGGGAATGGCCATGCCAAAATCCCTTTTCTAGTTTCCTCTTGGGATTTTGAGCACACACATGTGACCAGCTTGTTTTTCAAGCTGCGGGAGTACAGGACTTGAATCATACAGTTGGCCATGTGGGATCCAACACCTTAACCTCCATGTCACCTGCTTTCTAGGGATTTCTTTTTTAGTTTGCTATAGGGTGCAGGCATTTACTGGAGACAGAGACAGAGAGAGGAAACCCCCCCCTACACCCAATCCCTTCTCCATTATCCTCTTGGGAATTTTGGGCACACGTGCTTAGTGTGTTTTCTAAGCCTCTGGGTCTGGAACTCCAACCACTCAGCATGTGGTATCTAGCAACCTAAGTCACGGGCTAGCCCCATAGTACTTTTATTATTTTTTTGAAGTGTTTTGCTAAAAGGCATGTGTGCTCAATG